CTTAATAGTGTCCCCTGAACTCTGCCTCACTTAATACTGTCCCATGAACTCTGCCTCACTACTGACCCCTGAACTCTGCCTCACTACTGACCCCTGAACTCTTCCTACTGACCCCTGAACTTTGCTCATTCTGACCCCTGAACTCTGCCTCACTACTGACCCTGAACTCTGCCTCTCACTACTGACCCCTGAACTCTGCCTCACTACTGACCCCTGAACTCTGCCTCACTGACCCCTGACCCCTGAACTCTGCCTCACTACTGACCCCTGAACTCTGCCTCACTACTGACCCCTGAACTCTGCCTCACTACTGACCCCTGAACTCTGCCTCACTACTGACCCCTGAACTCTGCCTCACACTGACCCCTGAACTCTGACTCCTGAACTCTGCCTCACTATTGAAATCTGAACTCTGCCTCACTACTGACTCCTGAATTCTGGTTCACTTTCTACTGACCCTTGAACTCTGCCTCACCTAATACTGACCTCTGAACTCTGCCTCACTTACTACTGACCGCTGAAATCTGGTTCCCTTACTACTGACCCCTGAACTCTGCCTCACTTACTATAGACCCCTGAACTCTACCTCACTTACTACTGACCCCTGAACTCTACCTCACTTATTACTGACCCCTGAACTCTGCCTCACTTACTACTGATTCCTGAAGTCTGCCTCACTTACTACTGACCCCTGAACTCTGCCTCACTTACTACTGACCCCTGAACTCTGCCTCACTTACTGACCCTGAACTCTACCTCACTTACTACTGACCCCTGAACTCTACCTCACTTATTACTGACCCCTGAACTCTGCCTCACTTACTACTGATTCCTGAAGTCTGCCTCACTTACTACTGACTCCTGAACTCTGGTTCACTTACTACTGGCTCCTGAACTCTGTTCACTTACTACAGACCCCTGATTTTTGCCTCATTTACTACTGACCTCTGAACTCTGCCTCACTTACTGACCCCTGAGCTCTGCCTCACTTACTACAGACCCCTGAGCTCTGCCTCACTTACTACAGACCCCTGAGCTCTGCCTCACTTACTACAGACCCCTGAGCTCTGCCTCACTTACTACAGACCCCTGAGCTCTGCCTCACTTACTACAGACCCCTGAGCTCTGCCTCACTTACTACAGACCCCTGAGCTCTGACTCACTTACTACAGACCCCTGAATTTGGCCTGACTTACTACAGACCCCTGAGCTCTGCTTGACTTACTACAGACCCCTGAGCTCTGCCTGACTTACTACAGACCCCTGAGCTCTGCCTGACTTACTACAGACCCCTGAGCTCTGCCTGACTTACTACAGACCCCTGAGCTCTGTTTGACTTACTACAGACCCCTGAGCTCTTCCTCACTTACTACAGACTCTTGAACTCTTCCTCACTTACTATTGACATCTGACTCACGTACTACTGACCCCTGAACTCTGCCACACTACTCACATCTGAACTCTGTTAATTACTACTGACTCTGAACCCTGCCTCACTTACTACAGACCCCTGAGCTCTGCCTCACTTACTACAGACCCCTGAGCTCTGCCTCACTTACTACAGACCCCTGAGCTCTGCCTCACTTACTACAGACCCCTGAGCTCTGAGCTCTGCCTCACTTACTACAGACCCCTGAGCTCTGACTCACTTACTACAGACCCCTGAATTTGGCCTGACTTACTACAGACCCCTGAGCTCTGCCTGACTTACTACAGACCCCTGAGCTCTGCCTGACTTACTACAGACCCCTGAGCTCTGCCTGACTTACTACAGACCCCTGAGCTCTGCCTGACTTACTACAGACCCCTGAGCTCTGCCTGACTTACTACAGACCCCTGAGCTCTGTTTGACTTACTACAGACCCCTGAACTCTTCCTCACTTACTACAGACTCTTGAACTCTTCCTCACTTACTATTGACATCTGAGCTGCCTCACGTACTACTGACCCCTGAACTCTGCCACACTACTCACATCTGAACTCTGTTAATTACTACTGACTCCTGAACTCTGATTCATTTACTACTGACATCTGAACTCTGCCTCACTTACTATTGACCTATGAGCCCCTTCTGAGCTCTGAGTCACTTAATACAGAGTCAATAGTAACACAGAGTGCAGTAGTAAGTGACCCTCTGTCTCACCTCTGCACTGCTTACCTGTGACCTCCTTCTCTCTGGACTCTTCATATTACTCTGGGTGCTCAGGGGGGGACAGTTCCGGCTCTTCTCCCCCTTCTTTTATTCCCTGGTCCTGTAGGCAGAGCTAAATTACAGCTACACATAGCCCTGCCTACTGGACCTGGGAATAGGAGGGGGGGGGGGGCTGTAGTTGCAGTATCCTGAGTAATGTGAAAAGTCCAGGGAGAAGAACAGAAGTGACTCCTTTGTCTCCCTACAGCTGCGCTTGTCACAGGCAGCTACAGAGGAAACAATGTTTGTATAATGTCGGGGAGGACGCAGATACTAAAGGATGGCATGGAGAGTGGGGGCTGGACTATGATTGACTGTGATTGGCTTATAGACCCGCTTCCACTGCCACACCAGCATTTAGCACTCACACCCTACCTGGGTTGTTTACTGTGGGAAGCCGCTGTGATTCTTCTGACTCCACAACTGGGTTTACTGCCCATGCGTGAGCCGCGATAAACTTTGTGAATGGTCCCGCAGTCTTCTGGGACCTATAACGTGTCTCAGAAGGTTGCGGACAGCGACGATAGGGGGTGGGGAGAACTTCTGGGGGAATCACTGCGGCGGTCTGACTGTAAGTGGGGGTGGGTACCTTTCAAAACCAGGTACCCTTCCAAAGTGTCAAAAGCAGAAGAGGAGACAAAGAAGGGCATAAAGTGGAACCTCCCTTTTAGGGTGACATTATGCTTTAAGCAAGTTCTGTAGTCCTCTTCCCCTGGAGTACTCCCTACCTTTTTGTGACAGACCTTAATTGATTTTTTTATCTCAGTCAGTCAATTAAGCTGGCCATAGACTGAAATTTGGCCTGTTCAACAGGGACCAGACCAATTTCATTCCATCTATGGTCGTTCATGTTCCAGATGTAATGACTCTTAAACCTGCTGTCAGAATACAATAATACAGTGGGGAGAATTCCTCCATCAACCTGGCTTTTGTGGATGTGGGAATCCATTCCGCTTTTTCCAATCAGCCTGCTAGCTGATCGGAAAAAAAACTGATCCTCCATTGCCTGTTGCAATCTGCTGGGGGGGGAGTCCATGACCCTTTCCAAAAATGCAGCAGCTAAAAATGTATAGATATGAATGTGTTCCATAGGAAACCATGTTAAATGGACTGTAGTGAGTTTCTTCAAAACGCAAAAAGCACTAAAAAATGCATAGGTGTGAACCTTAGTCTATGCTTCCCCAGTAGAGGGTAGATGACATAGTAGTGGTGATAAGGAGCGATCAGCTGGAGTGTTAGGATAGCGAGAATTCATCAGCATTATCCCAGGGGCTTGAGAGCAAACTGACCAGAATCTACCCAAACCAGAGTAATCCATTTTAAACCAGCTTGCCTTTTTTCCTGTTAAGCGTTTAGCCCTGGTTCACACATATCTAATTTGTGATGCTTTTTCAAAGTCAGTGATTCGCATGACAGGAGAGATGACGTGTTCCTTAGGAGGTGGTTCTCATATATGTGATCCATCCGCATGGCATTTTGACACAGTTGTTAAAGAGGGTCATATGTGAATTTGGTGTGGTGCGTTGTTGGGAATTTGCATCCCCTAGAGTATAGTGATAATTGGAGATGAGTCTTCCCGTAGCATTGCAATTCTAATGCATAGGACGAGAGAGAGCTATTCAAAAACCATTGCAAAAGGCAGATTCAAATTTCAGCTGTAAATTCACATTGAAAATGATATGCTATTCAAACAGAACCGCATTCCTGAATTGCACTGCAAAACTGACCAATTTTTTAAACGTATGTGTAAACCTAGGCTTAGGAAATGAAAACATTCTTCTACAGACTGAATTTACCAGCATTAAAGTAGAGTTCCAACCAAAAATGGAAGCTTCACATATCTGCCTTCTCCCCCCCTCCGCTGCCACATTTGGCACCTTTCGGGTTAGGGAGGTGGGAGCGGGTAGCTGGTTTTGACAGTTGACACTTCACAGGTACCAGAGGACTACAGCCTTTTCACAAACCACAGCGCGCTATGCGCATGTGCAGTAGGAAACTTGCTGTGAAGCCGTAAGGCTTCACTGCTGGTTTCCCTTAGTCAAGATGTCGCCGCCAGCACCCAACAGCCGATTGAAGAATCGTCTCGGGGTGAGGACCACGCTGGATCCCTGGACAGGCAGGTGCCCTAATAATAACAGTCAGCAGCCACAGTATTTGTATTAATTTTTTTTGGCGGGGGGAGGGGGGTTGGGGCTGGTTGCCAGAACTCCACTTTAATTACCTTCAATGTGTTCATCTCAAGATCATGTTTCCTGTGGAGCATTTTATACGTGCCTCCCTCCTCCCTGTCCCTTGCCGGCACTGTTTTTGGGTGCCTGGGAATAGTCAACCAGTCCTCTTGCACTGATGTAATTGCATGCAGACTCTCTTCTGAATCCTGAGAGGACCCTAGCGCTGGAAAGTCAATAGGCACTATCCATCCATGGTCACCTGAAGTAGGACATCTCTGTAAACAGAAGATAGATTTTTTTTTTAAATCCTGATATGACCACTATTAGGGCTCAATACAAAAGTGAAATTTAGAAATGTGGGTCAGTGAAAATCTATGGTTTTTCATAGTATTCCCACTAACAAGCTTCAAACTAGGCCACCTTTTATTTAGAATTATAGACAGTACTTTAAAAATACTATGCACATTGTTTTTCAGCATGCAGGTCACATGAAGTTATGTAAGTTAAACAATTTTCTTTAATGTGTTGTACTTCCTAGATGGCTTGAGAAAAAAAATATATATATGATATTCTTAAATTTGTTCTATGTACTATACATTAATTGACATTATTTGTAATATCTTCTTTGGAACATTTAGAAAGAAGAATGCGAAGATTAAGGGTGCATACAAACGAGAACACATTAATGTAGGCTGTGATATGGATTTTGACATCGCTGGTCCATCAGTACGAGGCGCAGTAGTATTTGGCTATGAAGGTTGGTTAGCGGGCTACCAGATGACTTTCGAATCAACCAAGTCAAGAGTTTCCCAGAGCAACTTTGCTGTCGGATACAAAACTGATGAATTCCAATTGCACACTAATGTGTAAGTAAAGAAAAAAAAATGGACATTGTTAATGTTTGCTACATTTTTGCTTCAGTACCGCAATTTTTGATTATTCAGTGTTCTATTCTGTTAAAACTGTGTGGGCTTTAGGTTCTGTGCTTCTGTTGACAAAACTGGTCTTCACTGGCCCACTTCAGTGATTAGGAACCATGCTGGTTGATTCCTGGTCATGATGACCATTTGGCAAGTTGCAGATTTCAAAAAACAAAATACAGTTAAAAAAATAATAATACAGTCAAAATTCAAAATACAGTCAGTAAAAAAAAAAAATAACTAATTTAAAAAGTTTTAAGAAAAAATATAAAATGTATTTAAAAAAAAAGTTTCCATTTGCAAGTTATAATGAAAAAATATATAGGAATGGAATTTAATAAAACAGTATACTAAAACAAACCCTTATGTGTCCGCAAAAATAATGCAAACATTATGCAGGTAGACAAATTTATTCCTAAAGATATTGTCAAGTTGACTATTGCATTTGGCTTGGTCATCTACGTTTCAATGACCTGTGATCCATAAAAGGGCTAAAAGTGGGATGTTTTCTACTTTAAGAAGAGTTCTATTTTGACCTTTTTAGCAGCCTTATCTGTGAAACTGTCTTTAACAAAAAATGACACACAGGCCATGATACCACATTAAACTGACTTTGCCTATGCAGCATGGGGGAATCAATGGGAAAATCGAGTTAATTGCTGTGGGCAGTACAGATTGTTTGATACAGTTTTTGTTCTTGGATACTTTAACAAATGATGCCCAAGATTAGCTTGTGGGAAGTAGATAAAAGCATTAGCCTCTTTCATTTTTTTAAGTGATGTTACCTGTAAAAAAACACGTAAATTCCTTTCCCATTGTCTGAGAAGCCAAACACCACTCCAATTTCTTGAACTGGTCCTCCAAAGCCCACTGTAAAACCAACACATTTGGAACTATCAATCTCTTGGGTCACTCGAGGAGAAAGGGATGGTGTGAGGTCATAGGGTGGAACCATTTAGAGCCAGGGGATCAGCAGTTCCAGAAGTGTAGGTTTCCTGTGTTTTTACTGGCCTCTAGCTGCTCAACCATAAGCTGCCAAGGCAGTGAATCTGGGTGTTCAAATGCAAAAACTGTATTAGTTGTCACGCTCAGCAGGAAATACCACCCACTTCATGTGACCTATTTATCTGAATGGAGCCATGCTGCTACTATCCACAATCTGAAATTAAATTCAAATACATTTTTAATTCATCATCATTTCCCTGTAACAGCTTCAGGAGAGAGCATTCTCTCACTGTAAGTCTGAGTTAGGTTGCTGAAATTGACCAGAATATGTAAGGTCTTTGACCATCCTCTATGAGCATCTGTCCATTAAGGCTAAGCTTCAGGAAGAAAGTGTTTTTTGAATGCTTTTCTATCCTTTTTAGTATTAATGTAAGTGCCGCTTTTTCTTTCACATGGAGAACCTACAGTTGCAAGAAAAAGTATGTGAACCCCTTGGGATTACGTGGAGTTTTGCATGAATTGGGCATAAAATGTGCTATGAACGTCATCTAAGTCACAACAATAGAAGAACACAGTCTGCTGAACATAATACTACACAAACATTAGATGTTGCCATGGTTTAATTGCACATAACATGTAAACATTCACAGTGCAGGGAGGAAAAAGTATGTGAGGCCCTAGCTTAATGACTTCTCCCAGAGCTAATTGGAGCCAGGAGTGAGCCAACCTTGACTCCAATCAGTGTGATGATATTGGATGTGTTGCTGACAGCTGTCCTGCCCTTAAAAAACACACACCTGTTTTGGGTTTACTGGTTTCAAGAAGCACTGCCTGATGTGAACCATGCCTCACAGAAAAGAGCTCTCAGAAGACCTACGATCAAGAATTGTTGACTTGCATGAAGCTGGAAAGGGTTACAAAAGTATCTCCAAAAGCCTTGATGTTCATGTGTCCACGGTAAGACAGACTGTCTACAAATGGAGAAAGTTTAGCACTGTTGCTACTCTCCCTAGGCGTGGTCGTCCTGTAAAAATGAATGCAAGAGCACAGCGCAGAATGCTGCATGAGGTAAAGAAGAATCCCAGAGTGTCAGCTAAAGACCTACAGAAATCTCTGACACATGCTAACATTTTTGTTAACACATCTACAATAAGGAAAACATTAAACAAGAATGGCGTACATGGGAGGACACCACGGAGGAAGCCATTGCTGTCCAAAAAGAATATTGCAGCATGTTTGAAGTTTACAAAAGAGAGCCTGGATGTTCCACAGCACTACTGGCAAAATATACTGTGGACAGATGAAACCAAGATTGAGTTGTTTGGGAAGAACACACAACACTATGTGTGGAGAAAAAAAGGCACAGCACACCAACATCAAAACCTCATCCCCACTGTAAAACATGGCGGAGGGAGCATCATTGTTTGGGGCTGCTTTTCTGCCTCAGGGCCTGGACGGATTGTTGTCATTGATGGGAAAATGAATTCCAGAGTTTATCAAGACATTTTGCAGGAAACCGTACGACCATCTGTCCGCCAACTGAAGCTCCGCAGAGGATGAGTGATGCAACAGGACAATGACCCAAAGCATACAAGTAATTCAACAAAACAGTGGCTGCAACAGCACAGAATACACCTTCTGGAGTGGCCCAGTCAGAGTCCTGACCTCAACACGATTGAAATGCTGTGGCATGACCTTAAGAGAGCGATTCACACCAGACATCCCAAGAATATTGCTACACTGAAACAGTTTTGTGAAGAGGAGTGGTCCAAAATTACTCCAGATCGTTGTGCAGGTCTGATCTGCAACTGCAGGAAACGTTTGGTTGAGGTTATTGCTGCCAAAGGAGGGTCAACCAGTTACAGTGGGGATCGAAAGTTTGGGCACCCCAGCTAAAAATTTGTATTAATGTGCATAAAGAAGCCAAGGAAAGATGGAAAAATCTCCAAAAGGCATCAAATTACAGATTAGACATAATATGTCTAATATGTCAACAAAAAGTTGGATTTTATTTCCATCATTTACACTTTCAAAATAACAGAAAACAAAAAAATGGCGTCTGCAAAAGTTTGGGCACCCTGCAGAGTTAATATCTTGTACTGCCCCCTTTGGCAAGTATCACAGCTTGTAAACGCTTTTTGTAGCCAGCCAAGAGTCTTTCAATTCTTGTTTGAGATATCTTTGCCCATTCTTCCTTACAAAAGTCTTCCAGTTCTTTGAGATTTCTGGGCTGTCTGTCACGCACTGCTCTTTTAAGGTCTATCCATAGATTTTCTATTATGTTGAGGTCAGGAGATTGTGAAGGCCATGGCAAAACCTTCAGTTTACGCCTCTTGATGTAATCCCCCATGGATTTTGAGGTGTGTTTAGGATCATTATCCATTTGTAGAAGCCACCCTCTCTTTAACTTCACCTTTTTCACAGATGGCATCAAGTTACCATCCAAAATTTGCTGAAATTTTATTGAATCCATTTTTCCTTCTACTCGTGAGATGTTCCCTGTGCCACTGGCTGCAACACAACCCCAAAGCATGATTGATCCAACCCCATGCTTAACAGTTGGACAGAGGTTCTTTTCATTCAATTCTGTGCCCCTTCTTCTCCAAACGTACCTTTGCTCATTCCGGCCAAAAAGTTCAATTTTAACCTCATCGGTCCACAGAACTTGTTTCCAAAATGCATCAGGCTTGTCTATATGTTCATTTGCAAAGTTCAAACGATGATTTTTGTGGTGAGGACGTAGAAGAGGTTTTCTTCTGATGACTCTTCCATGAAGACCATATTTGTACAAGTATCTCTTTATAGTGGAATAGTGTACCACAACTCCAGTGTCTGCCAGATCTTTCTGGAGGGATCGTGCAGTCAAACGTGTGTTTTAAATTGTTTTTCTCACAAGCCTGCGAGCTGTTCTGTCTGATATTTTTCTTGGTCTTCCAGATCTTGCTTTAACTTCCACTGTTCCTGATGACTGCCATTTCTTAATTACATTCCGAACAGAGGATATTGACATCTGAAAACGCTTTGCTATCTTCTTATAGCCTTCTCCAGCTTTGTGAGCGTCAACTATTTTCAGTTTCAGTTTTCTAGACAACTGCTTAGAAGAACCCATGGTGCTGATTGTTGGGGCAAGGTCAGATGAGTCTGGGCATTTAAAACCTTTGAGATTGACATCACCTGGTCTTCCCAGACGATGATTGAGAACAATCCATGACACTGGCAGGTCTCAGCTTTGCAAAGGGGGCAGTGCATGCTATAAATTCTGCAGGGTGCCCAAACTTTTGCAGATGCCATTTTTGTTGTTTTCTGTTATTTTGAAAGTGTAAATGATGGAAATAAAATCTAACTTTTGTTGACATATTATAAGAATGTCTAATCTGTAATTTGATGCCTTTTGGAGATTTTTCCATCTTTCCTTGGCTTCTTTATGCACATTAATACAAATTTTTAGCTGGGGTGCCCAAACTTTCGATCCCCACTGTAAGTCCAAAGATTCACATACTTTTTCCTCCCTCCCTGCACGGTGAATGTGTACATGTTATGTGCAATTAAACCATGGCAACATCTAATGTTTGTGTAGTATTATGTTCAGCAGACTGTGTTCTTCTATTGTTGTGACTTAGATGACATTCAGAGCACATTTTATGCCCAATTCATGCAAAACTCCATGTAATCCCAAGGGGTTCACATACTTTTTCTTGCAACTGTACCTCCAGCCCAATAACATCCCACCCCAAGCACATTTGTTAGTCTTTCCTGTATATCGTGCCCCTAGCACACACCTTCCCAGTATCCATGCCAGCAGTGAGAATGCCTCTTTAGTACACAGAGCTATCCTTTTAATATCATGTATTGTATAAAATGAAAAGATCACTGAAGAGTTCTTGAACCCATTCAGCTTTACACCCATGGTAAGCATAGTACCATGTTACTTTCTGTTTTTCTCATTCCCCCCCTTCCAGCAATCCTCCTGTCAACACTCAACTATGCATTCTCATATCTTA